TGTGGCATCATGGTGATAGTCTACTCATCTTTGAAACAGGCAAAGTAATAACCGCCTCCCGCCCCTTGCGCATCGGTGGGTTATAAGGGGTTCTGTCTGCGCTTGCTATACTCGGTCACGCTTTGGTTTGCTTTATGATATACGGGCCGTGCCAAGTCGGTTGGGGCCGACAGACAACGGTAGTATGCTGGTACCGTTATCAGCTAACAAGCATAGATGGGCAGCTAGTACCAGTAGATTGCAAGTATAGCCTCACACCGAGGCCGGATGACGTGACGGAGATAAGTCCACCAACAGGACCCCATTTCTTGGACCCCTGCTTAGCATCTCGGCTATTCCTGAGAATTGCCTGACTGAGTCAATAAGCACTATACGGTCCTTTAGATTAACTGCAAGATGCCGAACGCCGGGAAGATGACCACCGAGTGCCCCTCGATCACGTCTTTTCCCACCTATAAAGCCCTAAGTGATGCCGTCAGCAGCAAGCAGCCAGCCGTAGCTACCTGGCTTTTTTTTTTTTGTTTGCACTTGGCAATCTACCCCTCTATCCCATTCCAATCCTCTTGAAGCACCAACCAAAATGGGCTCTATCCAACCCTCCGAGCCAAAGGAGGTGGTCCTCCCCCCGCGACCCCCCAACCTGCCGCACCCAGAATACCGCACTCCGCGCGGCGTCTCCCCGCTGGACTCGGTGCGCGCCGCCGGGCTGCAATACCCCAACTACACCCCGTTCAAGCTCCCCAACCTGGCCATTCAACCCTTCACCGACCGCGGCCTCTCCTCCTCCCCGAACAAGCAGGACCTCCTGTCCGCCGCCACGGAGATCATCCACCTGACCCCGGAAATCGGCACAGAACTGACGGGCCTCCAGCTGACGCAGCTGACGGATGTCCAGAAGAACGACCTCGCGCGGCTCGTCGCGGAGCGCGGCGTCGTCTTCTTCCGGGATCAGCAGATGGACGTTCACGAGCAGATCGCGTTCGGCGCGTATTTCGGCGAGTTGCACATCCACCAGATGGCCGGCATCATCCCGGACCTGCCCTGGGTGCATCCCATCCACAAGGACGAGACGGCGGTCAACGGCCGGAGTCACCAGATCTGGCATTCGGATGTCAGTTACGAGCTGCAGCCGCCGGGGTTGACGATGTTGAAGATGGACACGCTCCCCAGGGCGGGGCCGGGCGGGGAGGAGACCGGGGGCGATACGATCTGGGCGAGTGGGTATGCCTTGTATGAATGTGAGTGTGCCTCTGGGATTCTTCGGGTGAAGTGGCAGGGAGAAGAATAAAAGGGGAAGGGGGTGGAGGAGATGCTAACTGGCGAGCATGACAGCTCTATCGCCCAAGCTGCGCGCCTTCCTGGAGACGCTCGAGGCCAAGCATAGCGGACTCGAGCAGGCGGAGAAGGCCCTGCGCACGAGTGGGTGCCTGCGGAGAGATCCCATTGAGACGAATGTGAGTGTTTTGGTCTCTGTTCTCGGCGTCCCTAGGGGGCTATTAGCACAGCGGCTAATTGGGGAATTGGGTGACAGCACCCCGTCGTCCGCACGCATCCGGTCACGGGCTGGAAGACGCTGTACGTCAACGAGAACTTCACCAAGGAGATCGTGGGCCTCGAGAAGCGCATCGGCGATGGCATCCTGGATAGCCTCTATCGCACCGTGGCGGAGGGGTACGAGTTTCAGGTGCGCTGGAAGTGGACCAAGAACGCGGTGGCCATCTGGGATAATCGCGCCACTTTCCATACGGGGATTTTTGATTACTGTGAGTCATTCTGTCCATGGGGTAGTAAGGTCTTTAGAGGGTAAGTGAACGAGAGCGCTGATGTGTTGCACCTGATAGTCCCCCATCTTCGGCATGGGCTGCGGGTTGCGCCTCAGGCCGAGACGCCGTATTTCGATCCCAACTCCAAGACCAGGAAGGAGGCGCTTGCGGAGGTGGAGGAAATTAGCAAAAAGGCGTGATTGGGAAGAGCCGCAGGAGGGTGTATGTGACCGGTGTAAACAGGATCGAGTCTGTGACGTGAACAGTAGAACATTTAAATTCTGGTTGATTCTCTTGTACGCCCTCATGTCCATCCACCGAATCCCCGATGGCCGGTTGCTCCGTCAAGATAGTTCATGTGAAGCTCATTCGCCTAAACCTGCAGACCCCCCCTCCTGCAGGCACCATTTCCCCGAGTCTAACTCTCCCACCAGAAGTAATATAGCTGCAGGATTGTTTAAATTAAACCACGATCACGTCAATCTTCTGCAGTCCCTCGCCATGCCTCTCTGCCCCTGTTCCTGAAGACACGCTTCAGGTATAAAAAGGCGTCCATAGCCCCTCGGACCGTATCTCCAGACAAGCACCAGCATCATCACAATGCTTCTTCTCTCCTCCCTCGTCCTTGCTGGCCTGGCAGCCAGCCAGCTGATCGGCCCCGTGGGTCCCACCACCGACCTCTCCCTCAAGACCCACGAGTGCAGCATCCTCGACTACGGGGCCGTCGCCGACAACAGCACCGACATCGCCACCGCGCTGGAGACCACCTTCACCGAGTGCGTGCTCCCCAACCCGGGCAGTCGACTGATCGTCCCCGAGGGCAACTACCTGATCGAGCGCGGGGTCGTGCTCAGCAACGCCACCAACTGGGCGTTCCAGCTGGATGGGCTGATCACCGCCGCCTACGGGGGCAACTGGACCATTGAACGTGCGTTGATCCTCCAGGGCTATGCCGGCGTGGACGTGCTCAATTCCACCATCAACGGTGAGGGTGACCAGAAGTTTCTGCTAGATGTGCTTGTCATTGTGAATGGTATGTTTTTTTCTCGCTCCTTGCTTCTTCTTTTTTTTTTTTTTTTTTCCTTTTTTTTTTTTTTGGTGCTGATTAGCAACGCAGCGGTCGATTTCTACTTCTACTCGTCCACCGGGCTGGTTGCTATTCAGGGCCAGGGATATATTTTTTGTAATCTCAACAAGTAAGTCCACTGTTTCAGTCATTGGTGCAGAGTCGGGTGCTCATGATCGACTGCAGCACCGATCGCCCCCGTCTCGTGCGAGTC